GGGGGGGAGGGTAGGTCATACGCCCACCAGGTGGTGCAGCATTGGAGGGGGCTTACGAATTGCCCGCGGCGCGGCTCAGGTGGCTCAGACTGACGTTTGAGCAGCGTAACCCGGGGGCGGGTTGTGTCGGCATGGTGTCGGCGGGGCGGGGAGGGGCGGACAGCACCCTGTCCTATCCCACGCACTCCGGGTAACTTCATGACTCACGGTACCTACGCTAATCTTCCACTCGCTCGAGGAAACGCTCCCGGCTGTATGTCAAAAGTGGCCCATGCTCTGTGGGATTTTTCAAGAAGTCGGCGATCTTACAGAGTATGTACAGTTTTAGAGTGTACAAGTAGCCGGCGGGGGAGATCGCGTAAAGCATCTTAACCTGCGCGGTCAGAGCATTGCGAGGAGGAGGTTGTGGAAACTTTTTACCGGACGGCTCTCGGGGAAACTCCCCTATCGCTCTCTAGCAGTTAGCAGTTCGGGCCCACGGCCTGCAGTACTTTGCGGACCGCACCTCACGAACGCATTTGGAACCCGTTTGCCACTCCCAGCCCGGCCCGCGCTGTTGGGCGGCAGCGACAAACAACATGGGGTAACTCGTTTGTGTTGTGAAGCGAACTTTGCCGGCGGCGCCACTAAGTCTCGCGCGTCCCGTCGTCCGCTGGTGCTGGGGCTTCCCTTTACTGGCAGAAAAGCGATGTTGTTTCCCCCGACAGGCGACTCGGCGTCCGAGTGACGACAGCTAGAATATAAAGGGGGCGTGGGCTTTCGCGCCACGTTCGTTCAGACTGGCTCGGACCAAAAAATACATATAACGACCGGGATAAGGGGGAGGGGGCGAGACTATCGATTACCACCTGTTTTAGAATAGAATGGAGAAGTAAGAGGACGTCGTGGCATGCGCTCGGGGGTGGAAACACGTGGCGGGTTTGCTCCCGCCCCCGACGTACTCGCACCCGCGGAGGCGGAGCGCGCGTTTCGGGGTCATCACGTCACCCGTTACCCAATCGATGGCGCAGCAGGGGTGGGTATACTGACCGGCGCAGAAGGTAGTTTGTTCTCGATTAGTCACTTTCGTCGTCGCGAGGGTGGGCGTGTTTCAGGTTCCCGGGGAGAGAGTTGTTCAGTTCATCGCTCCCCGCGCCGCGGCGGCCCCGGGGACTGCCCTTTGTTGGGCGTGACAGTAATGGAGAGCGGTAAACACACTCACCGCGGTGCGGCGCCGGCCGGAGCCGCCATAATTATTGAACAACCCTGTCGTTTGCGGACGACAGAAGGGGGCCGACGCGCCCTTGGTCAACTTCGGCATGGGCGAGCGGGGATCGAGGGGGAGTGCAGGGCAAGCGACAGGATGGCAACAACTGTGTAGCATTTACCCCCACTCTCACCCCGCCCTATTCCCGGTCTCGTTCGCGTGATGTGTCCGCCGACCCGCTTCAGGTACCACTCCATAAACTGCCCTCGGTGACCCCCCCGCGCCGTGGTGGTGTGATAGGTGCACACGAGCGACACCGCTACCCTGCCCCCTTTTCCCTCTCTTTCTACACCCCTTTCACTTTCCCGGCCCGCGATCCTCCCCTGCCCTGGCGGCCCGGGCGCCCCGGGCGCGTGGCGACGCCTGGCGTGGGTCCCGCCCATGTGTCACCTGTTCCAACCGCGGAATTACAACAATCAATCAGGGCCGGGCGATAGCATGGATCATTGCCTGACGTCGCGTTGTCGTGCGTTGCGAACGACACTCGTGGGACTTCCCCCGCGGCGCGGCCCTTTGCCTGTCGCTGTGCCCCAGCAGCAGATGTAAGCTCTTTGTCCTCTGCCCCGACAGCTGACGGCCGTGCTGCAGACGCTGTCGCTGCTCGCACTCGTGCTGGACCGCTGCCTGTCCCTGGCCGAGGCGCAGGCGGCGCACGGCTCCTCGTCCACCACCTTCTCGCTGTCCTCCACGCTGCCGGGTGCGGGCGGCGGCGGCAAGGGCGCGCGCCGGGGCCCGCGGGTCCGCTGCGCCTCGGCCGCCGCCTGGGGGCTGCTGGGGGCCGCGGCGCCCCTCGCCCTCGCGCTGTGCGTGCCCATCGCCTCGGCCAGCGTGCGCATGTTCCCCACCAGGTAAGGCTGGCCCGACCCGCATGAGATGGCCCCCTGTCTTGCTGTTACCGATTTCCCTGTATTTTCTTGAACTCCTAGGTACGCGTGCGGTCTGGTGCGGCTCCACGGTGACCCTCCCTGGCTGGGCGCGGCCGTGCTGACGCTGGGCTACCTGCTGCCCTGGGCCGCCCTCGTGACATGCGTCTCGCTGGCGGCGCGGCGCGCGGCGCTGCAGCGCTGGAGGCGGCGCCAGCTGGACATCGCGGCACAGCAGCACGGCCGCGGCCCCGGGGCTGCGGCGGCGGCGGCACCCTGGGGCGGCGGCGGCAGCTCCCCTGGCACTGGGCTCACCTTCAACCTGGTCGACACGCCGTTGGGGCACCTCAACCTGGACGACTACCGGGCGCTCACCCTGGCCACTGTCCTGGTCTTCATGTACCTCGCCATGGTGGTGCCGGGGGTGCTGTCCACCCAGGTGAGCTCGAGCTTTGTCTCTCCCACCCGCTCCGTTGTCGTCCCCACGGCGCTCGCGACACGGCGTCGTTCCGCGGGACTCTGCGGTGAGATTTGAAGGGCGCCCCGCCCCTGCCTCCACCCCGCCCCCAGGCCGCGCCGCCCGCGTCGCCCACTGCGACCAGGCCGCCACTCTATTATTCCGCGAAAGCTTTGGCTAGCCTATTAAAAGTTTTGTTACCCAAATCGCCTCGGCCCGCGCGCGCCCATCGCCTCAATAAAAAGCAATTATTGTTCCGGAATCGGGGGCTTTAAAGCCCACTCCATCTCCGGCCGGGTGGGTAAGCCGCGCGCGCCCCTTTGGTGTCCTGAGACACGGGTTCTGCTTGTTGCCTCGGCAGGTGCTGCAGATGATGGAGGCCAGGCCCCGGACGGCGCACGGCCCCGACGACCTGTGGCCGGTCATCACCGGGACGTACGAGACGGTCCTGGTGTGGCTCAGGATCCAGTTTGCCGTCGTGTCGCCGGGCGTCATCGTCATCCTCAGCAAGGACGTGCGCCGCAGGGTGAGGCAGGGGGAGAGTCGCCTAAACCGACGATGGCATTCCCCGGGCCCGACACTGACGCCGATGGCATATTCCCTCCCGTAGGCGGTGGACGTGCTGCGCTGCCTGTACCAGGCGTGCTGCTGCTGCGTGTGCTGCTGCTGCTCCCGCCGAGCCAACGCCGTGGGCCAGTCGCAGCCCCAGCGACGCTACGGCCAGCTCGCCGCCCCCGTGACCGCCCCCGCGCCCGTCCCCGCGGCGGGGGCCCCAGCCCGCCTGGGGCTCGCACCGCGGTGGCCGAGGCTGCGACACAAGAACGCGGTCTTGCTATCTGAGTAAGCGGCCACGTGAGGGATGGGATCAAGTCAAAAATCTGTGACATATTGGGAACCTGTCGTAAATTCCGCTCTGATAGGTCGTTGGAGACGGTGGTCTCCGCTGGCACTGCTGTCCTGTTCGCCACTGGGCAGGGCCTCCACCTCCGCACCCTGGCCCCCGGCCCGGAGGAGGACGCCGATGATGTCTCCACCTTGGTCGGCGGCGGCAGTACGGGGCCGCCGGGCAGCTCTCTGCCGTTAGCCCCGGTGGGGCCGTGGGCCGGCTCGCCCTCGCCACGCTACGTCTTCCAGTTCTGCGACCTCGCCGTCATCGAGGACCCGCCGAAGCACTCTCCTGAGGCCAGCACCGCCATAGCGACAACGGGCGCCCTGGTGGCACCGCGGCGCAGGGTAAAACACTGTACCCAATTTTGGGTTGTGGTGAGATTTGTTGGATCTCTGAGTATCGAATTATGGGTATCTGTTCTTCGGCAGGTCATGTTGCCGGACACGGACGAACGAGAACCAAGTCTGACCCGCGAGGAGCTACAAGTGGTAAAAGAACATCACCATTAATAATTTGGGCTCTGAAAGTGCGGTATTAAGCTTCTATAAACTAAGTTTTGAATAAAATGTCAGGCTCGTGCGTTTAATCCACTGGTTTCGGCTCGGGCGCGTGTTCCAGTCGTTGGCCAAGCCTCGCAGCCTCTCCAACAGCTTCCGCAAGAACGTGCGTTTTGCGAGCGTAGTCGCCGAGATCCCGCTGCCGCTCCCCAGCGTGGCGGAGGCTGAGGCCGAGAGCGGCGTCTGGAGCGACCCCACCTCCTCGTCGACAGCCTCGTCCGCGTCCACGTCGGCATCCAGGGCTGCGCTGTCGTCGCCGGCCTCATCTACGGACTCGCCCGTCCGGTACGTGCTGTCGAGGCCGCGGACGAGGTCCATTGAGCTGGCCCTGGTGTCCGGGGACCTCCCGTCCCCGCCGCCGCATCCTGGCCCTGGCAGCCTCCTGGGTACGACTTTCTCCAAGGCGCCTCCGTTGTCGTCGGCTACGGCCACCCTCAGCAAGAGGAAATCCAGATTGTGAACAAAAGACTTCGTGACAGTATGCTGTACTCTGCTTTGTCGAATAAACAATCAAAAATAAAAAGAAACTTTCAACGCCGTCGCATCAGGCACTCACAGGTACCAGATGTAAATGTAAATTTACCGACGCGTTGCAATACTAAGACAAAAAAAAAGTTCCGTTCGGCAACGGATCGTGGAAGCAGATGATACGTGTGTAATGATCGGGTCTTGTCATTATTTTATTTCAGTACAGGATGTGGGGGTATATGTAAATTTACCATCATCATGCAATCCTCAGACACGAAAACAAAAACGCAAAATAAAATTGTGCCCGATGCCGTGACCAGGATTCGAACCTGGGTTATTGCGGCCACAACGCAAGGTACTAACCACTATACGATCACGGCTACCGTTGGGATGGGGACCGGGCGCGTCGGGAAGCAGCCACGTGCGGTGGCCTTGAGCGGGGCAGCGCCAGCGCTACGCACTGCCGTGGCGGAACGCCGAACTAAACCTTGAGGCGCGGACTAGCTATGGCGCGCGCGCCTCCCGCATTCAAACAGCCTCGGGCTCACGATCAGGGGCTTGGAAGAAACAAGTTTCGCACATACATCAGGATGTTTGAATTCATGTCACACTTTATTGTGTCACATCATCACAGTCAGATATTGGTGATTGGTTATTTCTTTCAACATACTCTACACTTCAGAAATTTGTCTTTGTTTGAATGTTTTAAAGATATTCCATTAACTTTCCACCAGTTTAAAATTTATCCAGAATGGGTTTAAACAACACCACGTGGTGGAGTGCACTCACTAAAAAATGACCATTTACATATTTTCTTTAGGACTGGGTTCAGGGACATACCGGTATATGAGTAGATAAATCACGTAGGCTAAAGTAATGATGAATGCTGTGACAAAGGCCCACGCTCCCATTTGGTCTAACCGGTTCACGCTGACGTAGTCGATGCCATCTTCAGTCTGCGATATGGAATCCCCATCGCTATGAGATGAGGGTGCCGTGGAAGATGCGGGGTCTGAGGTGGGCAGCTTCGTGGCCTCGGTTCCTCCAAGAAGGCCCTCGCCGCGGCCGCGGCCGAGGCACAGCAGCCCCAGCAGCACCACGGTGGAGAGCATGGCTGGGCTGGCTGCTGCCCAGCTTTATGCGCCCAGCCGCTGCTGCTCCGCGGTCGATGGTCACTGGTCACCCTTTGACTGCAGCCGGGCGTATCGCAGCGCAACTCAATCAATCTTCAACATATGGCCCAGTGAAAGGTGTGGCCATATGTGACAAGGCGGAGAGCTTTTTATCTCATGACGTTCATATTTGCTCAAAGTGAGCATCAGCTTGACCTACTGCCTTCCATTAGACCTTGTCTGATGAATCATAACTTTGATGTGTGCAATGGTAACCACTACGCCATCGGAATTCCACGAGAGGGGCGTGGTGAAATGACGGGTTTGAAGTCCATTTGAAATTTGGTGGCCTGAGAAAAAGTTCAGACATAGGGAGAGTCGAAGGCCAGCGAGCGCGCTACCGACTGAGCCATAGAGGCGCCATACGGTCTAGCGCTCCAGGGAACGAATCATTCTACGCTGTCGCTGACTGGCGTCGCTCCTTGTCTCCCGTAATACAGGACCGACTTTGAACGCGAAGTGGGGAAGACGGGCGGGCGGCCGAGCGCGCTGAATCGTGCTCGTGTCAAACTGTTCGCCCGAGATTCGACTCCCGGCTAGGGCAGGTATATATTTTATCTCCTTCACTTCCGTGGCAGCTGAGGTTGCTCAATTGTAACCAGTCTGAAACTGTCTGGGGTTCGACTCCCGGCCAGCCCATAATAGTTTATTATCCTGATCATTTCACTTTGTCACTTGGCACTTCCCCTGGCGTTGCCGCCTGGAGGCACACAACGATGCGCGGGACGGGAAGCATCCCCAAAGGATCACATCCTGGACAAGCGAGGCGGGATTGCCTACCCCAGGAAAGAATCACATTCCGTGACCACGATATGTCGGTGAGTATGTCGTAATTATTGCTCTCCTCCTTTGCCGTGCCGCGTCCCCTACCCCTCTCCTCCTCCCCACC